ATCTGTTTTTATCTTGTTCTTTATAATCCCAATTTTTTAGTTCTTATAGTTTTCTAGTTTTGAATCAAAACATTTTTTAATTTTTTGTGATACTTTTCTTAATCTTATAGATTTTTTCAATCTTTAGATTTTTGTCTTTATCATAAAACATTCAATCTCCAATTTTTCAACTTTCAAGTTTGAAATTTTCCTAAAAACTAAATACATGGTGAACAAAAACAATGGAACCAAGCGGTTTTTTGAATCATTGTTTTCAAAAAATATAAATTAAAGTTTTAATGCCATTTCAAAAATTAAAAATGTCTCAGAACTCTGAAAATTTTCGAAAAATTTTATTTTTGAGAAAGGTCACATTTTTAATATTTATATAAAACAAATTTTTGTGTTAAATATTTTTTTTTATTTTAAAGTTCAACTTTTTGATTTTCGCATCTACTTTTCACTTTCAATTAATTGTATCTTTTATTATTACTAGTTTTTCATAATATTTATTTCAGTCGTATTTTTCTCTATTTAAACCTCTTCCTGATTTTTTCCGAATATTTGTTTTCCTAGACTAATTGTTATTTATTTTTACAATTTAATAATCTTTTAAATGCAAAAACAATAAATAGGGTGTTTCATTTAATTTTTTTTTAAGTTATTGAACTTTTATAAAACGCCTTCATTTTCTTTTGCGGTAGTAAAAAAAATATTTCTAAATGTCTTAGTTTTTGTGTAATAAATTTTTTAAAAGTGCATGTTTTCGTCAAAGAAACCGTCTTATTTTTAAAACTAATCAAAATCGACCAATAAAAGTTTAGCTTAAAAACATTGTCATAAAAATCTACAACCAAAAACGCTAAAAACATGGTGTTTCATTAAAAAAAAAAACACGCTGTATAGTTGAAAATAATTTTAGGCGATGGACTAAATTAGTATCTATCAATGCCCTATATATTTTTTTTAATTTTTATCATTTAAATGTCACTAATGGACTTTTTCAACTCGCTGGGACACCCTGTATGCATAATAATTTATTGTCTCAAAAAAAAATATTTATTGGCTCACCAGCATTTCTCGACTTCAAAGCACCATTGAAAAGTTGGCAGGTAGGGTGAAAGTGCCTTTTTAATGATTTTTATACCTCCAGGTTGAATTGATTCAAAGTTGTTAGAAAGTTTTCTTTTAGAGATTTCCAAGTATTTAAGTTCATTCAAGGGTCGTGAATTGGAGACTTGCAACAGATTTTTTCTCCAACGAAAAGCGAT